CTAAAATGATGTTGGACAGTGCACAAGGGGTGAAGTACTTACACAACAATGATATTCTTCACAGAGACATCAAACCAGAAAATATCTTAGTCATGTCTCTTGAGAATGACGTCGAAATTAATGCAAAACTGACTGATTTCGGATCTTCAAGAAACGTGAATAAGATGGTACTTGATATGACCTTCACTAAAGGTGTTGGAACACCAAAATATATGCCACCAGAAGTACTCAATAGAATGCACTACGAGAAGTCTGCCGATGTGTATTCTCTTGGAATGACTATGTGCGAGTGTTTCCAGTGGGAGAAAGCATTTGACCCTGAGAAGTACCGGTCATGGGAAATAGCCGAGTTCATATCTGATGGGCAAAGGCCATCACTGGACAATATAAATGACGAGCTCGCAAGTGTTGTGAAGGATTGTTGGCGACAGAAGATGTATGATAGAATTCCAATTGAAGAAGTTGTTAAGCGCCTTGCGACAATATACTCCAAACCGGTGCTCCACACAACACAATAAAATCCTTTGTATTTTTAGTTATTCTCAAACTATATTTTATAGTTTTTCTTATTATCAATTATAGTATAACCTATTGAAGAGAACACAATTGAATCCAATCAAATACATCTGAACAAGCAGTGTTTAATAAGTAATAAAATTATTGTGGAACAACTTCTTTGTTTTGGAACTTGTCGAAGTTTGTCCCAGCAAAGAAAGGTCTTGTTTTGAGGATTTCGAAATCGCAGTTTCTCTTTGCGGCGTCTTTGACGAGCAATTCGGCGATGAAACTTTCGACTTCGGGAAATGAGTTATACGGGAAGTTGATTTGCTCACTGATGATCTTTTTGCATATCATTGCCGGGGCCGTGTCGTAGAAAGGCGCGTCGCCAAAACACATCGCAAAGAGCAAAATCCCAAGACTCCAGTAATCGACACCAAATCCTAATTCCTTTTTCTCGAGGATTTCTGGTGCAAAGTAGTTGTACCCACATTTGTATGAAACTCTGAGTCCAATTGGCGCAGACAACAAGACGTGACCTTCACTTGTCAAATAAACTGTTTCTGGATTGATTTCCATATGAGTGTATTGGCAGTGGTGTATAGCGTTGATTGCCAACAACAACTCCGTTGCAAAGAATTTGATTTTGGGGAGTGGGATGATCGCGTGGTCCATGATATCCCCGACCCGCTGTGTCGGGTATTCATTCATCACGAAAAACAAGTTGTCTTCATCGAACGTGGCGAGTGTCTTCATGACATACGGGCAAGTGACATCCCTCAGATTTTTATGGATTGATTGGATGTAGTCGATTTCGGTTTGATTTAAAGAATTTTTGAAAAGAGTTTTAAGTGCAAAGGGTTTGTTGTTCTTTTTAAATACTGCAGACTGAATAGACCCCTTTTCCGTCTGAATAAAAACTTTGCCGATGTTAAAACTTGATGAGCTGATAACATCATACCGCGAAAACCCAGAAGATAAAGTCTTTTGGTCATCTATGAATTCCAAAAATGCGTTGTACCATCTGTCCTCGACTGCCTCTTCATCGAATTTCAATCGTAGAACGCGCGAACTATCAAAAGTGATTTCAATGAGTAACTTTTTTGTGTTGTCTTTAATGACACGAAGTGCTTGACGCATATCAACTTCCCCCTTTTTGCTGGTTTCCTTATTGTTAGATATAATAAGAAAAAATCAATGAAACGAACTTGTCGATTTGTGTAGTAACTCATGTTCCCATTTGTCGAGAACACAAACCACCGCTTTTTCCAACTCTTCACTTGACTGCCCTCTTTCACAACATATCCTGTGAGAATCTGCTTCACTTCGGCCATCAGTGAAATGTTATTTTTTGATAAGTTACAGACGTTTTTAGATTTTTCAAACATAAAAATGTGGAAAAAAGCTCACTTTGGAATTATGAAGACACGACAGAACTCGTTCTATCGATCTTTTTACATTTTTTAATATTGAAATAAATCGAGAATAAATGTCGAGTATTTTTGGAGTCGGAATCAAGGGATCTTTTTTATTAATATTATAATTTATATTACTATTGTGATTCTATTGTGCAAAAAATGTTTAGGGTTTTTTAACGAAAAATTTTCAAATTGTTTTATTGTGTAATGGACTTCAATATTTTTTGAAATGACTTGCTTGATTTATTTATGTTATTTTTTTGTTAATAATAAATAGTTTTCAATTTGGTTTACTATTATAAACAATATATTAATAATTATCTTCATGTTTTTTTCAATGGATTTTTATCAGAATACAATTATAGTTTTTTGTATTTTTTTAGAAAAGAAAAAAATTTCGTTCTAATATATTTTTTATTTGCAAATATTTTTGATGTATTTTGGAACAGTTTTCAAAAAAAAAGAAAATATCAAATATTTCTTTAAATTTTTATTAAAAAATGTATAAAAAAATTTATTAAAATTATGCAAATTTCTTTAGATCAGGGCTCTTAAAAACAAAGTTAAAAAGACAAGGGTTGATTTTTATTGAATAATGGTTTCAGAAAATTTAAAATAAACTTTTTGATGGCAATTCTGATTTAATGTTTGAATAAAACAAAATTGTTTTAATTTGTCTTTTCGATTTTTTTGGGCTTTATTTTTTTTAGTTGGTATTTAAAAAAAATAAAAAATAAAAATGGCAAAAGTTTTTCTTTGGTTTTTTATTCAATAAATGAAAAATGGATAATCTGTTGTTCTTGGTTATAACATAACAACCATATTGTAAATATTACACTATAATTTGATACTTTGTTGTTGCTGGAAATGGTTTTAAAGTAACTATTGCACCTTTAAAATATGTTTCACGGGTTTATGTGTAATTCTGATTAAAACAAAATTATAATTATCAATTGTTTTTCAGACTTAATTAAACGGACTTTTAGTGTAATTATATTAGTTAACATTATGTCGCGTTTTAAAACAAACTTGATAATCAAACAGAAGGGGTTTATTTATTTCATTTGATAAATGTATTTGAACTAATTGTTGCACCACTATCCATGTTTTCAATTGTGTTTAACAATCAACATAAAAAGTTTTTATTCAATATTTACTATTGAACATATGTTTTATTACAAATATAATATAAAATAATAAATAATAATATAAACTTTGGTAAATTTGTGAAAGAAAAATTCTTTGTTATAAAAATTTTATATTTTTATAAAATATATGCTAAAATTTTGATTTTTGCCGTTATTTTAGTTTTTGTGTGTTTTTTGATTAACAAAGAAATTGAAGTATAACTAAAAATAATTTGGATTTGTGCTATTTATTGAAATCACAATGTAATCGAGTTCTTGAATCTTGCCACGTGGGGACGGGGGTTTGAAATTTTGAGAGCCCTGTTTAGATTAATTATTATTTTAATACTATTAAATGAACTATTCAAATTGTTAATTATATTTGTACTATAATAATACTAAAATTTACTATTAAAATATATTTAAAAATATTAATTGAAGTTCATCAAATAAAGTTTTCATCAAATCAAATATAAATTGTGTATTTGACAAAAAATACACAAATTATATTTAAAAAAATAGTAATTAGGTAAAAATTATAAAAATGCAGGAAAAATAATGAAACAATGATTATAGGGTGTTTAAAATGGTTTTTGAAATAATTTACAGTATGGAGAGAAAGTACA